TCCAATTTCTGTATAGTCTCTCTAGTGCTTGCTTCTATCGTTCTTTACTGTAGTCATCCTAGTCGGTGTGAAATAGTACATCATTGTAGTTTTAATTGTATTTCCCTAATGATTAATGTTGTTGAGCATTGTTTCATGTTTTTATTGGCCAGTTTTATATCTTTGAAGAGTGTCTATTCAAATCCTGTCTTTTAAATTGTGTTACTTGTCTTTATTATTGAGTTGTAAGAATTCTCTTTCAGGTTTTTTGCTATAGGACACTGGACAGAGAGAAAGACAGAGACAGTGAGAAGGAGGATGACTATGCCACAGTCCATTCTTCTTCATTCTCCTCCTGGGATTTTGAGTACACATGCACATGTACCTGGAATAATTTTCAAGCTACCAGGTCCAAAACTTGAACCATGGCTGTCCATATAGGAGTCTAACACTTTAACCACTTGTGTCACCTTCCGGCCGCAGATTTTTAATCTGCGAAGGATGTCTTCCTTTCTGTGGGTCTTGTCACTTTTTTTTGAGAGGTTTTTGCTATAGGGCGCGTGCGCTCGCCAGAGAGAAACAGAGAGACAGAAAGCGAGAAATCACCCCCCATAGGGGATGGACATGCCGCAATCCCTTCTCTTGTGATCTTGGGCACGCATGCACACACGCCCGGTGTGAGTTTATGCCACCAGGTCCAGTATTTGAACTGTGGTTGACTTCATGGGAGTCCAGCGACATAGCCATTACGCCAACTGCTGGTCCCAGTCACTTTTTTTTTTTTTTTTTTTTTTTAATGAATGAGTGTTGGGCACTGGGGAGAGACAGAGGTGGAGGGTGGGTGTATTTTTTACAGGATCTCTCTACATAATGATCTTCCTGCCACAGCCTCCTACTTAGTTAGGACCATAGATTCATGCCACCGTACCTAGCCTGTTTAGGTCTAGCCATGACTGAACCCAGACTTCCCATGTGGCCTCAGCTACCACACAGTGGCCTTCTCCTGCTTGTGCCACTGCGTCTGACCAAGTCTTTTCACTTTCTTGATGGTTTTACATCCAACACAAATGTTTTTATTTCGACATAATACAGTTAGGCTGGGTTTTTGTTACTGTTGCTTTGCTCTTATTGTCTATCATGTCTAAGAAACCATTGCCTAATACAGTGTCACGAAGATTTATCTCTGTATTTTCTTCTAAGCTTTGCATTTGTAATTTTAGCTCTTACATTTAGGTCTGTTATCCCTTTTGACCTAATTTTTATATAACATATGATATAAAGATCTGGTTTTATTTTGTACATGGATATCCAGATTTCCCAGCACCATTTGTTTCAGAGACTCTTCCATCTCCACTGAATTGTCTTGGCATCATTGTTGAAAATCAGTTGAACATAAGTGCAAGAGTTTATTTCTGAACTCTTCGTTTTGTTCCACTGAGCTCTGTTTCCATTCTTATATCAATACAATATCTTGATTACTGTAGCTTTGTACAGTAGTATGTTTTGAAATTGCTAAACCTGCATCCTCTAGCTTTATTATTTTTGTCAAGATTATTTTGACTATTCTGGGTCCATTGCATGTCCATAAAATTTTAGGATCACCATGTCAATTTCTATAAAGAAATCAGTTAGAATTTTTATGCATATTCTGTTGAATCTGTAGATCAATTTAAGGAATCGTCATCTTAACTTTTCCTTTTTTTTGAGAGATTTTCGCTATAGAGCATGTGCGCTTGCCAGACAGACAGAGAGAGACATAGAGACAGAAAGCAAGAAATCACCCCCCAGGGGGGATGGTCACGCCGCAATCCCTTCTCCACTCTCCTCTCGGGATCTTAGGCACGCACGCACATGCACCCAGCGTGAGTTTTAAGCCACCGGGTCCAGGAAGTGAACCGCGGTCGACTACATGGGAGTCTAGCGACATAGCCATTACGCTAACTGCTGGTTCCCACCATCTTAACTTTTCTCATCCCTGAATGTGGGATGTCATTCCATTTTTTTTCCATGTCTTTAATTTCTTTCAATGATATTCTGTAGCTTACAATATATAGGCATTACACTCTTGTTAAATTTATTTCTGAGTGTTTTATTCTTTTTGCTGGTATTGTTAGTGGAAATGCTCTCATACGTTCATTTTCATATTGTTCATTGCTAGTATATAGAAATAAAATTTTGTTTTACACTGGGACCAGCAATTGGCATAATCGCTATGTTGCTGGACTCCCATGTAATGGACCGCGGTTCGAGTCCTGGACTCGGTTCTTAAATTCATGCCAGGCGCATGTGCATGTGTGCCCAAGATCCTGAGAAGAGAATGGAGGAGAAGGGATTGTGGTGTGGGCATCCCCCTGGGGGGGCGATTTCTCGCTCTCTGTCTCTCTGTCTCTCTCTGTCTTTCTGGCGAGCGCACACGCCCTATAGCAAAAACCTCTCAAAAACAAAGAAACAAAATTTGTTTTACACTGCTCAAACATTTTTTAATGCTATAATTTAACATAATTATTTCACAACTATTTTCAGATTAATTTCACATTTTACATAAAGTCCCCATCATGACACATAAAATGTATCTATTTTTTCAACAAAGAATTTTTATATTTTTGGTCTGTTAAATGTTTCTTCCTGATTATAATAAAACTTTTAAAAAATGTTTATTAATTTTATTTTTTTGAGGGAGGTGGTACCCCAACAGAGTCTTCACACTGTGGTCTAACCTCAGTCTCAGCTAGCCCAGGTCACGGGCACATGCACGTGTGCCCAGCATGCTCAGGGAGGTCCCGGGATATGAGCCCATGTGGGCCCAGTTGTACCACTGCTGTGCCACTGCATAGCCCTAATATGTATTGACTTTGTGTTTTGCAAAGTTTCTTGAACTCACTTGTTTAATGGTTTCTTTTTTAAAGTTTATTTCCTTCTTGAGAGTGGGGGGAGTGGGGAAGGCATCTTCAACAGGGTATCATGCCCCTCCCTTGAGCCCTGCTATCCTTCCCAGCAGTCAGGACCATGGAGTACACATAAGGTCGACCAGAGCACTGAACCTGCTGTCTTCCACATGGATGCAGTATTACGTGAGCAGTGTTACTGCTATACCATGGAGCTAGCCCATTTAATAGATTTTTGGTGGAATCCTTAGGATTTTCTATATATAAAGTCATGCCATTTGCAAACAGAGGTAATATTACTTCTTCCTTTCCAATCTGGTTATACCTCTAGGTTTTAACCTTTTTTCCCTTCTGTTATTTGTCATCAAATAGTGTTCCCTGAAGGATAGTGCTCTAACCATTTGTGATGTACTAGCTAACTGTATATGGTACATAAATGGACTTTTTAAAACTTTGTACATATTTAAATATCTTTATGTTTATTCATTTTATTTTAATGGGTATTTGGCAAATTATGATTAGCACTTTTAGCTCACAATTTCATAGTATCTGCTCAAATGTCATTTATCAGAATAGTCTTTGAACATCCTACTTAAAATAACATACCCTCTTCACTCTCTTCTCCTTCCTCTTGTTTCATTTTTTCTTCACATCACTTGCCATCTTTCATATTATACACAAACACGTACTTATGCATCACACACGTGTGAGACATGGGTGCTTATTGTCTGTTTCTGTGCCTGGGATGTAAGCTTCATGAGAGCAGAGACTTGGTTTTAATCTTTGCTGGGTCACATTTGCAGTGGACATGGGTGATAAGCAAATAATTGTGGAGTGAAAGAATGTTTTATTGTTTAGATCAGAATACATTTTTTGGGGGGGGAGAGGTTTTTGCTATAGGGCATGTGCACTCGCCAGACAGACAGACAGAGAGACAGAAAGCGAAAAATCACCCCCCAGGGGGGATGGCCACACCGCAGTCCCTTCTTCTCCATTCTTCCTCTCAGGATCTTAGGCACACACGCACACATGCCCGGCGTGAGTTATAAGCCACTGGGTCTGGGACTCAAACCACAGTCGACTACGTGGGGGTCCAGCGACATAACCATTATGCTAACTGCTGGTCCCTAGATCAGAATACATTTTTGAAAGAAGAAATAGAAGTCAATCTCAAAGATTTTTCAAGAAAAAGTAGGTCACCCCTTCCTCTTGTTTCATTTTTTCTTCACATCACTTGCCATCTTTCATATTATACACAAACACGTACTTATGCATCACACACGTGTGAGACATGGGTGCTTATTGTCTGTTTCTGTGCCTGGGATGTAAGCTTCATGAGAGCAGAGACTTGGTTTTAATCTTTGCTGGGTCACATTTGCAGTGGACATGGGTGATAAGCAAATAATTGTGGAGTGAAAGAATGTTTTATTGTTTAGATCAGAATACATTTTTTGGGGGGGGAGAGGTTTTTGCTATAGGGCATGTGCACTCGCCAGACAGACAGACAGAGAGACAGAAAGCGAAAAATCACCCCCCAGGGGGGATGGCCACACCGCAGTCCCTTCTTCTCCATTCTTCCTCTCAGGATCTTAGGCACACACGCACACATGCCCGGCGTGAGTTATAAGCCACTGGGTCTGGGACTCAAACCACAGTCGACTACGTGGGGGTCCAGCGACATAACCATTATGCTAACTGCTGGTCCCTAGATCAGAATACATTTTTGAAAGAAGAAATAGAAGTCAATCTCAAAGATTTTTCAAGAAAAAGTAGGTCACAAGGTATGCAAATATGCCAAAAAAGCATAAAGGTTGTATGAAATGATAATAGCTTGGGAAACTCAAACTTAAGAGATGAGGAGAGGTGAGATAGAGATAGAGTATTTGTTTGTTTGATTTTTTAAAAATAATTTTCTGTGAAATAGTAAGTTGTCTGGTAGCTCCCAGACGCTTCCCTATCCCAGGACAGAGGGTTCTTTTGAGGCTTGCAAGCTCTAGCACACAAAGTTAAAACTATGTGAGAAAGTGGTTTCTACCACCTGCCACAGAATACATCTTGGTAGTTTGGGAGGTCTTCTGGAAGAGTCTGAGGTGTTTTTGGCCATCCGTGGGAACTTAAACCTTATCTTCTTTGCAGGGCTCTGGATTTGCAGAGAGCCGAAATGACCATGACTGCCAACAAGAATTCCAGCATCACTCATGGAGCCGGAGGCACTAAGGCCCCTCGGGGGACTCTGAGCAGGTGGGTAGGGGAGTACTGCTGGGGGGTGCCATCAAGGGATAGCCAAATGGCCTAGGTCCTGGATGAGATCCCTGTCAAAGTGTAAATAGCATCACCATGACTCTGACAGTCATCCAGGGGATTGCCATGGGCCTAGCTCCTGTTGACCATTAGGCAGAAGTCTTTATATATATTATATATTATATGCCATTTCATAGTTTTGTGTGTCTCTACAGGAGATAGTAAACATTCATTTTAAGCAAGCTTTGCTTTGAGCTGTGGGAGATGTCTAGTGTTCCTGGATGGTGCCAGTAAGAGACAGCTGACATTCTTCTGGAACCTTTTCCAAGATGCAGAGAACTTGGGACCTGTGTCTGAGCTAGGCTGCATTGTAGAGAGAGAGGCTGACCATACTGGAGTTGGGATAGATAGGCAGTCATACCTTCCAGCACAAGTTCCCAGCAGAAGGTCAGGTTCCATAGGAATTTAGGCTGGGCTGATGAGGGAATAAGTCAGTATAAGCTATAATCCACTTTCCTGGTTTGGTCCTCTTTTTAAAAGTGGGAATGCATGGGGACCAGCAGGTGGTGTGGTGGTTAATGCGCTGGATACTTCCATATGGCCAACCATGGTTTGAGTCCTAGACCCGTGACTTGCTTTCTCGCTTTCCCTCCTTCCCTCTCTCTCTCTATGTGTGTGTGTGTGTCTTGCTCTGGTCAAATTAAAATAAATAAATAAATAAATAAATAAACAAACAAACAAACAAACGAACGAATAAATAAAATAAAATAAATAATTCTTTAAAAAAAAAAGTGGGAATGTAGGACCATAGGAAAACCACAGATTTTGGAATCATATAGATTGGGTTTGAAATTATATAGATTGGGTTCAGGATCAAATCTAACTACTTATCAAATTATAAGACCTCTAAACATTTTCTGGTACCCTCTAAAATCTTAGTTACTTCACGTATAAAATACAGTGTTTATCTCACAGATTTGCTGTGCGGATTAAATAACATATATCAGTACTTAACAGATGACTGGCTTAAAGCCACTTGATAACGTTAGCCCCCTCTCTATAATGAGGGATGAGATAACGCTTCTAAAACTGGCAGATAAATGGACAGTGCTCTCACCAGGCTTTCTCGGATGTTGGCTGAGGCTTGATGCTGATATGTTAGAAGAACCTCCGGGCTCTTTTAAGGCCTTGTACCTTTCAATAGCTCTTTTGTTCCATCTCAGGTAGAAAAATTTAGCTTTGGAGGTCCCAGTCACTGGAATGGGTCGCTGTGAGAAGGAGGCTCCTCTTTGGTTGGGCTAGGGCTAGTTCGATCCTGGATGTCTCGACTGCGTAACGCTGGGCTGAGTTCGGTGGGGTGTGGCACTCTCTGGTCCACCAGAGGTGCTGTTTGGTTCATTCAGACTGGAGTCAGGCGGACACAGGATGTAACCAGGGGAGTGGCTGGCACACATGAGGCAGTGGTCCCCTACACTTTAAATGCAGGGCTTGGTCCCTGTAGAAATGGTCTGGATGGATGCAACCAACCAACCAAAGATTGGCGGGCTGTGACTCGCCAAAGTACGTAAGAACTTGGGACTTAGCAAGAAAGGAAAGAAAGAGAGAGAGAGAAAAAAAATGGCATATTCATTCTGTGGAATGCCTCTGCCCCTGCCCATGCAGCCCCTCTAAGATAGCCTGGAGTTGCAGGCATACTTGCTTGTCTGAACTGGAGAAGACTGGGAATGGCAGGGAGCAATATTTTCTTGGGAAAATGGGTGGAGAATCCAAATTCTTCCAGAGCCAAGTCAGAAGCAGGTCCAGCTCTCAGAGTCTTTGTCCCATCATTACCTGTTTCTGGGAATGGTTTTACTGGACTCTCACCAGCCTGGTGGCGTGTCTTACTCCTAAGTCTCAGTGATCAGGTTGGCAGGTGGAGACTGATAATTGAAGTTCCCTTCTTCTTAATGGCAGACTACTGTAGGGGTGTAATAAACATATGTGATTATGTAGTTTTTGTTGTTGTTGTTGTTGTTTTGAGAGAGATTTTTGCTATAGGGCACATGCACTTGCCAGAGAGATTAGGGGGTAGAATGGGAGGGTGAGAGAAAGTGAGAAATCATACCCCAGGCGGGGGGAGACAGGCATGCTGTATTCCTTCTCCTCCATTCTCTTTTCTGGATTTTGGGCATGCATGCACACTCATCCAGTGTGAGTTTAAAGCTGCCAGGTCCGGGACTTAAACTGTGGTTGGCCATGTAGGAGTTCAGCACTTTAACCACAACTCCACCTGTGAGACCCGTGTAGTTTTATTCTTAATTTTCAAGAACTAGTGTATTTAGAACTTGAGTTAGAGGTCACCACATCCAACAGCCCTCAATCCCATTAAATATTCTTGTTGTTGTTGTTGTTCTAATTTCCTCTATGCTGCGGTTGGGGACAGGAAATAATAGTATTTACATCAAGTTGCAAAGCAGAATCAGGAATTCTGAGAGACGCAACAGTTTCTATGAAAAACATGCCTATGTGTTTCTTAATGTTTTCAGAAGTTGCCATTCCTTTAGTGTCCCAGTGTGCTGGCCAGCATAACATGCTGGGTGGCGTTTATAAATATCTGAGCCTCTGATGTGCCTGAGAAAGCATCCTTCCAGCCTCTCTCCTTTCCAGCCTCACTTCCTTCCTGCCACATGTTCGCTTATCTCGTTCTCCCCCCCTGAATTCCTTGGGAACATGGCTTTTGGCGTGGAGTCATAGGCCTCTGTGTCTAGCTACTCCTGCCTCTCAGAGGCTGCCCTGGACTGTAGGTGCTATTTAGACATTGTGATCTGTTGGTTTCTCTGGCTGCCTCATCCCCAGCCACCTCTAGGTGTGTTTTTTGGGCCAAGTAAGGTAGTAAATCCTCAGTGCATTTAGGATGTCATCGCTGGTGAGTTCTGAGGGCTCTCCTAGGTGCCAGGCTCTGTGCTGGACACTGGGCGACAAAAAGGGATGATCTCTTCTCTCTCTCCAAAGAATTTAACAACTTGGATTGACAATCTTGGCACATGAATTTCTTAGTCTGACCTTTCCCCAGATGCTTGGCAGTGACCTGGGGCCCTTTCATCACTGCCAGCCCAAAAGTCAAAGGAAGAGGAAGCTCCTTGGTGTGGCCGGACTTTGGGGAAGGAAAGGGTCCTGGGTCCTTGGAAAGCTGGGCCTTTGCTATCCAGGCCTCTTTGGGAATTTTATCATCCATGTGAAGGTAAAGGAATCCAGGGGTATGAAAGAAGCATTTGTGTCTGACTTTGCGAGAAGAGAGACTCTGGGGCATGGGCAGATGGGACCCCGCAGAACTATCCAGATAAATATATAAAGGGCTGTATCCTTAATTTGCATAAAACTGCACTAAGTCAGTCTGGGTTAAAGATCCTGGATTTTATTCCCTAGGTTTTCACAGGTGTTTTGCTAAGTTATTCACTTCCTTTTTCTTTGTAGCCCAGTCTTGATTTAGCAGAAACATGTAAGAGGAAAAAATACAAGTCTTTCCTTGGCCAGCTAGTGGCAAGGTGGTTAAGGCAGTGATATCTCACACGGCCTACTGTACGGTTCTAGTCTCAGGCCTGGTGGCTTGAAAAAACGCACTGGGCACATGTGCATGTCTACCCAAAACCCCAACAGGAGAATGGAGAAGAGATTGCTGTATGGCCATCCCCACTGTAGCTATTTTCTTATTTTCCCTCTTTCTATATATGTCTCTCTGTCTCTCCCTAGCAAGTGCACATGCCCTGTGACAAATGAAAGAAGAGAAAATCTCAGTCTCTCAACTGGCTGCCTGAGTTTTGCCCTTGGGTGTGCCTTGGTCCCTTGGAGCATGTTTCCCCTTCTCTTTGGTGATGAGGTCAAATGGACGTGCTGCTTCTCCCTTATCTGCCAGACTGTTCCTGCTCCAGCTCACAAGATTGAGTTGTACGCAGCTCTAGTGATGGTGGTGGGATTCTCGGCTCCTCTGAATTTCAGAAGTCGGGCTTTACTGTGCTGGTGTTTACTAGAGTGGAACAAGAGGAGCTTGGTGATTTGTAAACAAGGAAGTGTTATGTTCAGACCTAATTCTGCTCCACATGTCTGGGACCTTGACTAAGAAGACGTCAAGGCATAATGTGACTCAGTAACTATGGGCTAGTGTTACCTGGAGGTGCCTGAACTTGCATCTGGATGATGATGCTGGCTGTTGCTGGACCTCAGCTGGGACCATCAACCGGAAATCTGCATGTCCCTCTCCAAATGGCCCATACTTGCTCACAATGTGGGATGGGAATTAGAAGTTGCTGGTTTCTTGAGGCCTGGGCCTAGAAAGTGATACAGTGTCATTTCTCTGGTATTCTATTGGTCAATCGATCAAAAACCTGGATTCAAGAGGAGTGGTCTTCTTCTTTTTTTTTAATTTGCTATAGGGTGCATGAGCTCACTGGAGAGGGAGAGAGGTCACGCGCACACACACAACCCTACCCCACCCCCAGAGGAAGGCCACAGTCTCTTCTCCTCTATTCTGGAGGGGTCATTTTGTCAGGCAGCATGGCAGAGAATTTAGGGACTGTTTCTTTTCTTTTTCTTTTTTTTAAAGAGAGATTTTTGCTAAGGGTGCGTGTGCTGGCCAGAGAGACAAAGATTTTTTTAATGAGACTTTTCTTTTGATTTCTCACATAGCCTACTGTGAGGGGTGATGGGCACACCACAATCCCTTCTCCTCCATTCTCCTCTCAGGATCTTGGGCATGCATGCACATGCACCAGGCATGAGTGTTTTGTTTTGTTTTGTTCTTGAGAGGTTTTTGCTATAGGGCGTGTATGTTCACCAGAAAGCGAGAAATCAGGGTTGATTTCTCACATAGCCTACTGTGAGGGGTGATGGGCACACCACAATCCCTTCTCCTCCATTCTCCTCTCAGGATCTTGGGCATGCATGCATATGTGCCTGGCGTGACTTTAAACCACTGAGTCCGGGCCTTGAACTTCGGTCAACTACATGGGAGTCCAGCGACATGG